AACTGCAGTCAACTGAAGTAGCCTGCAGTGCTGCATTTAACCACTGCGCCACCTCAGCTCCCTGTATATTCTATACAGTATTCTGTAACTCAAGAATGTTCATTTTCAATGTATATCCTACATATTATAAAGCTGTTACTATTACCATTAATAACACACATTAAGTCTAATACGGTAGTGTCTGCCTATAGAATTGGAGTAAAACTCTGAATACTAAATGTTCTTTATATTTTCTTTACAGCACTACATTTCTCCAATGACATAAAATGGCATGAAATGTGAAATCAGGAATAGCTTCTATGATTAAAATAATAATAGATAAGAAATGGGTAAATCTGAAGGTTTATAGATGATACTGAATTAACATCATGTCTTACACTGCAAACTATCATACACAAAATTGTGTACTTTAATCTTGGAGAAATGATTAGGGTTAATATGGTGTTTTGGACTAATGAAAGTCACTATGAACTAAAGGAATCAAGAACCAAGAGACTTTCCACTAAGAATAAATGCAGAGAAGAGATCTTTAATGTCTCCTTTGCTCTTTAACTTCAAACACAGTCCTTATTTTGCTTTGCATCTCTCCAGCACCATAACGACGAACCTATGACATGTGTGCCAGAAGTGGCACGCAAAGCCCTCTCTGCTGGCACACGCGCCATCGGCCCAGGTCAGATCTCTGTGGCGTTTCTTTCGTGAGCTTCTGTTCCCCTGCAAACAAAACAGAAGATCACAAAAGAAAAATATCTTACCTCTTGCCACACTGCCAGAGATACCACGCCTTCTGGTCTCCGCTGCGCATGAGTGCGCTCACGTTTGTGCCTGCGCATATTCATGCATGTATATATTCGCTTATGTATGTGCATACTTTGGGCACTCAGTGTCTAAAAAGTTCACCATCACTGCTATAGCAGAATTCTCACACGGAGAAGAATCTGACATCTTATCTTTCTTTCCAGAGCACAATTCCACAGCCAAATTAAATTGTTCAAAATATCTTTGAAATCCTCAAGTTTGTATCACTTCAAAATACTTTATTGTACATTGGAATGAATGTTATTTTGGGAATCTGAATGACTCCACAGATATTTTATTAGTTTTATAGAGTTTTATAAAGCAAAATGATTTGAAATTATTTTCTAACAATTTTAAATCATAATTTTACCATCCTGTAGAAAGTCAACTTCAGTAATATAGTATATGAAATCAATTTTATCAGTTTACACTTTCTACGGTAACTGATCATTGTTAATCATTTCAGCAGCCTAATATCACAAAATGCAATGCCCATGATTCAGAAATGTTACACCTGAAGGATCAGGAGATGCTTAGAACACAAATATAAATATATGAAAAATACGATTTACATGTCAAACTATATATAATTCTTCTAACACTTACAAAATTGTTTGATAAAAATTCATACATTATAAAATTGATCCATTATGTACCATCAGGTCGTAGTTGGCTCTTAGCAACCACATAGATTTTCTCCATGACAATGAACTGGCCTAGTCTGGTTTTTTTCAGGTCTCCCAATAATGTACTCATTACCACTGTAACTGAGTCTAACTACCCTGCACATGGTAAAAATTCCAAGAAATGTTTTATCTTATATATTAGGGGAAAGGATGTGAAAAAC